CCCGCAGCTGAGAACAGGTTCTCCAGCCGGGGGTGCGGGCCCAGCACCGGGTTCTGGTCGAAGGTGTTGTAGTCGTAGTACCCTGCCCAAGAGCCCCTGACCTTCAGGGATTCAAAGGCTGGGACACGCTGAGCCAGGCAGGGCCAGATCTGCTCCTGGAAATAATTGTGATCCACCGAGAGATCGCTGGGATCCGGCTCTTCCTCCTGGAAAAGGATAAGCTGGGGGTGTCTGATAAGGAACAGGGGGGTGAGAGATCTGAGAGGACCCCAGGGGCTCACCTCAGAGGGGCTCATCCCGCCCAGGTAGTTCCCAGCAGCGCCATCCGGACGGAAATAAGCACCAGAGGTGTCGATGACGAAGGGGCAGGAGGAGCCAGGGCCATTGGGGCAGTGCCAGGTGAACACATACCTGGGGAACCCCAAACAGAGTGTGAGAGGTGCTCCTCTTGCCCCCCAGTATGGTGCAGTGGGACTGGGATGTAGAGATGTTTGTCCTCCCCAAAAAAATAACATTGAGGGGTCACATCACTCCTAGGCACACTGGAGGGGCTGTGGGCACTGGGGGGATAATTGAAGTACTGTGGGGGTAATAGGACTGGGGGGATAATTAAAGTACTTGTGGGGGTAATCGAGCTGGGGGCACTGGGGGAATAATGGGAGTATTGGGAATACTGTGGATACTGGGGCTGGGGGAGGCAACAGGTGACACTGAGGGGGATAATGGGGACACTGGGATTGGAAGTATAGTGACATAATGGGGACAGTGGGGCTGGGGGTACTTGAGGAATAACGGGAGCTCCAGGATGCAAGACCCCACTTCCAAATAACAAACTGAGGAAGCTCAACATCCCCTGCAGAGGGTGGTGGGTGCTGGGGTGTGTGTCTGATTCTGTAATCCCCCAAAATAGCACCTAAGGGTTCATGTCACCCCCTCAAAGACAGAGGATGCCAGGATGACACCCCCCAGAATAAAAGTGCTGAGGTGCTCCCCCATGACACAGTGCTGAAATACCCCCCAAAACAGCAGCAAGAGCATCACCCCCCTGAAAAAGGAGTTCTGAGGTGTGCCCCCACTCTGAGCCCAGGAGCTGCCCCAGCAGAGGGGTGCTGCCAGGCTGTCCCACGGTGAGCCCCAGTACCTCTTCCTGGGCTGGATGGGCAGGGNTGGGGAGATACTGGGGGTAATGGGCGTACTGGGGAATGGGCATACTGGAGCCAGGGGCACTGGAAACACTGAGGGATTACTGAGGCTGGGGCAATGCGTGGATACTGGAAATACTTGGGGGAATGGGCATACTGGGGCTGGGGGCACTGGGAACTCTGTGGGGATACTGGAGATACCTGGGGGAATGAATGGGCACACTGGGGCTGGGGCACTGTGGGAACACTGGGGGCTGGGGGCACTGGGGAGATAATGGGAACACTGGAGCAGGTAATGGGCATAATGCAGCTGGGGACACTGGGGCAGATAATGAGGGGATACTGGGGATAATGGGGGCACTGGAGATGGGGACTCTGCAGGACTGCTGTGGGGATACTGAGGATACTAGGGCTGGAGGCACTGGGGGAATATTGAGGGCACTGGATCATGATGGAAGCACTGGGGGTATGGATGCAGGCGTCACCCAGCTGGGGAATACTGTGCTCTGACTCCAAGATTCAGAAGGCTGAAGAGAAGCTTTATTAAGCTATATTATATTACATTATATACTGTACTATACTCTGTACTAAACTACACTAAACTAAAGAAAAACCTGTGACCCTTTCCAGACAGTCACAACACAGCTTAGACCCAATTGGTCAATCAGTCCAAACAACCATCACTGGTCCAATTAACAAATCACTCTTGATAAATAATCTCCATAACACATTTCATGTGTGCCAAACAGGAGCAGCAAGTAGAGCTAATTGTTTTCCTTCTCTCTCACTGCCTTCCCTAGGAAAAATCCTGGGAGAGAATTATGTCTCTCTCTGTTCAGAGAATGTGAATACCACAGTGGGGGAAATGGGGGTTAGAGGGGGCACTGTGGGGACAGCGAGGGACACTGGGGGAATAACATGGACACTGGATCTGGAGGGTAGGAATGTAATGGGGGTACTGGGGCTGGAGGGGATTGGAGCACCAGATAATGGGGACAATGGGACACTGTGAGGATACTGGGATTAGGGAGGCACTGCGGGATACTGGGGAGGAATAGGTCACACTATGGGATACTGGGGACTACAGGTGCGGGAACATAATGGGGATACTGGGAGGGAATGGAGTGTAGTGAGGATACTGAAGTTGTGGAAGGTGTCAATGGGGACATTAGAACTGAGGATACTGGGAGGATACTGGTAGCCCCGGTGGAGGGAGCATGGCAGGCATGGACCCCATTAATTCTCGGGCACACTCATCATCCATACATCCATTTTATTCCTATAAGACACCACCTCTGGCCTGGGGAGGGGGTCCAGGGCTGTGCCTCAGTTCCCCCCTCCCCGC